TCCCAGCTGCTGTGGACGATGCCGTTGATGCGCTGCTTCTACCTCGAAAGCCACGCGCAGGCGTTTCTCGCTCGATATGTCTCGCGTGAGCGTGACGGGGTTTTCAGCGAGCGGGAATCCTGGCCGTCACGTCCCGCTGCGTTTACGTCACCGCATCATGATGCAACAGCAGCAGCAGGAGCAGCAGGAGCATCAGTGCGTTCCAGACAACGACAATAATAGCGACGACGACATCGGGCACGTAGATTCAAACCAACACCTCCTCCCCAGAAACCCCACCCAACCCACCACCAGTCAACCCGTCTCCCCCAAATCCAACTCCTTTAGCATCTTCTCCTGGTACCCCATCCTCGACTTCGTAATAACCCGCAAAGTCCGCAGCAGCCGCTCCAGGAACCCAGACAAATGCCTCCCAAACTTCCTCACAACCCTCTTCGACGAGTCCTACCTGCCCGACCTGACCGACCGCGCCTCGCCCTTCGCCTCACCCATCCACGCCTCCGATGACATGCTGCACCAAGGCTTGCCGTCTAACATATTCATGTACATGTGCGAGTGGGACATGCTGCTCGAGGAAGGGCAGGAGTTTGCGCAGCGGCTGGAAGGGATGGGGAAGAAGGTGCGGTCGATGATGGTGGCCAGCCAGCCGCATGCGTGGGATAAGAGTCCGAATCCGCTGAGGGATCAGGGGGCTGTGGATGTTTTGTATAGACAGGCGTGTTATGAGATGGGGGCTATTTTTGAGAGGGGGCCCGCGGGGAGATGAGGTTGAATCTTTGTAGATTTTCTTTTTTGGAATAGGGGTTTGGGTTGTTTCTTTGGTTGTGCGGTGTATACTATTTACTACACTATAGATGGGGCTTTTCTTTGACTCCTTTACTTCATTCTCGGTTTTCTTACTCTTTCCCTGGCGACCTGGGTACCCTTAATTGTTTCTCCTTTTCAGTCCGACTGGCCTAGGAGATTAGGAATAACTTGTTTGGGGATTGAAACGAAAATGAGAGGGGAGATGCAGAGAGGGAGGGATTTTGAGCCTAGGTTGGGTTCGTTCGTTTGATTAATTATTTTACCCGTTGCGTATGTATGTATATTATGTACAGTATGTTTAGTTTGAGATCGCAGGAGTTGACAGTTGATAAATGGTAAAAAATAATATATTAAATCATATTCTTTGAAAAAAAGAAGGTATAACTTGCGATTCTTTTTGTAAAAGTTCATAAAGAGGTGCATTCATCTGTTCCCAGCCAGGCTATTTGCTCATGATGCCATGATGCCATGACTTAAAAGGACATAAACCAATGAAAAGGGGACTGTTCCCCTCCCACAAAAGATAAATAAAAGAGAAATGGATAACACAAGGCCAATGAGACTGGAATAGATGTTTGAGTAAACAAGAAATATCGAGGGAAAAAAAAAACAAAAAGAGTCGCTAAAATACAGAGGGAAATAGGGTTAAAAAGAGGCTGTAAATAAATCCAGAGAGGATAAAGCAGAAAAAAAAAAATTAATAATAATAAACAAACCCAACCAAAGCAAGCAAAACCTTCCTAGAAATGTCCAATGCGTGCCATGTCGTCTTTCATATTTTTGCCTCCATTATAAAGTAATGCAAGGTTTCAATCAACCCCTCCCTCTTTACATCAAAGGGCGGAAGAGAATCATAACATAAAATCAGCCAATAAAATAATTTCAATCTTCATCCGTCCCCGTCCCCGTCTCCCCCTGCTCCTCACTATCCGCCCCTTCATCCCCCGTAAAACTCGCATCCGACGTCTCATCATCATCAAACTCATCCTCATCCTTCCGATCATCCACCCCAGGAATCCCCCTCCACTCCAAATAATCACCGACAACCCACCGCCGGCTCCTGGGCAGATGATACGGGTCGAACGGGAAATACGCATCGAGCTGCGGGCCCATGTCGTCATCCGCTTTGGTCTCGCGCTCCACGTGGCCGAAGCGCGACTCCATCGCCAGCGCCGTCAGGCTGCGGAACGAGGAGATGCGGACCCGCTTGTTCGTCTCGATGAGGGAGTAGAGGTACATGAAGCCGAGGTGGTGGGTTAGGCGGGCGAACTCGGAGACGATGGCGGGCGAGCAGATTTTGAGGGGGTTGAGTTTCGAGTTGATGGCCGGGTGGAGGACGTCTTTGATCTGCGGCGGGAAGCGGGCGTCGTCGAGGTCGAGGTTGTCTAGCCAGTCTGAGGAGGCTGGGGTGATGGTGATGTCGGCTTCTAGCGCGGCGGTGGTGAGGTCGCGCCAGCGGAAGCAGAAGATGTAGAGGAGGGCTTGGGCGGTGGAGTAGAAAGGGCCGTAGCGTTTCAGGTCGGGCCCTCGGCAGGTGGGTTCGTATTCGTTCTGGAGGTTTTTGAGATGTGTGCCGAGCAGGTCGAAGACGTCGCGGACGACTTCGCTGGAGACGTGGGCGCCTCGGGCGACGAAACTGGCGAGATATGCGGCAGCATATTGGCGGATGATGGTTGGTTGGGATTTGGAGAAGATGATCTGCACGCAGGTGGTGGCGAAGCGGTCGATGAAGATTGGAGAGGATTGCGAATAGTGGAATAGAAGGAATTGGGTGTGGCGGGAGCGGTAGGTGGGGAGGATTATGGTTTGGAAGTGTGAAAGGAGGAGGTCGTTGGCAGTCTCTTTTTCGTCGACTGTGCCATAGTTGAAAGGTACGGAGTAGTATTCAAATAGAATGTCGATCATGAAGTCGATCTTTTGCTTCGTGTCTACTCGTTGTTTGGCGCGTTGAGCTTCGATATCGCTTAGATCGTCGTCCTCACTGGCAATCGTCTCCGTATCCGAATCCTCATCGTCGTATTCATCGCCTAATGCTATTGCTTCCGGCGAGGACATTGCGACGGGGTTGTCATCATCAATATCCTCATCTGCATCCTCCAAATCCACCTGGAACTGTACATCAATCTTCACGAGCTTTTCCGTGACGAGAGCAAGGATATCCGAACGTAGTTCGGGGGCGTAGTCAATGATTTTGATGATATTCCGCGTATACACGATATGCGCCTTCGCGGTGTCCGTATCATAGGGGAAGCTGGACGCAATCAGAGGCGACAAAGCACCGCTACCGGCGGGGATAAGCTGAATGATATATCTAATGGCCATGTGAACTCTAGCGTAGATCTCCGACGGGTACACAACGGGATATCCGGGCAGCTTTCCAACGCGAGGACCAACTAAAAATACAAATAGTTTCTAGTTAGCCACGCCATTATTATTATTTCCAGCCAGGGAAAAAAAAAAAAAAGGAAGATGATCCACTCACCCTGCCTCAACCCATGCACCAAAACCCTCAGCACAGAATTCAAGTACGTCCCCCTAGCCGCCGCCAACGTGCCCAAAAACCTCACAAAGAGCTTAACGTAACCCTCGTCTCTCCCAAGCCACTCGCTCCCCAACACCGCATGCACAAGCCCACTACAGCTCCCATCCAGCGCCGACACGTTCGAAAACAGACCCAGCAAGTGATTCCTCAACGACGTCGGAGACGGCAGGTCATACACAGGCGACCCATCATCCTCCAGCTCCTTGGGATCCGCCGTAAATATCTCCTTGACGCGGTCATACGCCTCGCTGTCGCCCATCAAATGGCGCTGGATGGCTCGACGGACCTCCTCGCGCACCATCGCTATGCTTTTCTCTGCAGCGGCAGCACCAGCTCCAGGTCCAGGTCCAGGCCCAGGATTATTACTACCAATACCGTGCTGCTCCGCCTCTTCATCCCGCCGCTGCTGTCTGTGATTCGTATTCGGCATATCCATCTCAAACGTGACGCGCGCCCGTTTCTTCGCGGGGGAAGAAGGGATTGTCACAGGACTGGTGCCGCCCTGCTCCTCGTCGTCCAGATCATCAGATGAAATCCCCAAGTCCGAAATGCTGCCCGACGACATATCCATCTCGACCCTCTTGCGCTTTTGGCCAATTGTGCTCGTAGCGGGTGTGGACGTAGAGGTTTTGAGGATAGACTTTGAAGGTTTCAGCTTCGACGAAGGGGTTGGCATTGCTCTTGGGTTCACCACAGTCGGAGCAAGGAGGACGGGAACTGCAGAGACCATTTCAGTGGGCTATTTTTTTCTCCTCTCCTGTCTCCTGTTGGTTGCTGGTCTTTGTGCGTGTCGCTATGATGCCTATAGCTAGGCGGGGAGTTGGTATGATTGATCTTGCCCAGAGTAGCGGTTTCGCCGTTAAATAGGGATGGAAATGAACCGCGGTGAAAAATAAGTAGGGATGCAAGCCGTCTATTTAACAACTCGCAACCGGACGGACACAACACACACCCCCCTCCACCTCCAGTGATGGAGATCAGAATTTGAAGTCCAATGTATATCAAAAGGCTGGGATAGGAGTGAATGTGTGACAGACGAGAGCAACAATTAGCTGCAGGCAGAAAAAAAAAAAAAAAAAAACCAAACGCCCCGCTCTTCCGAAGTGTCCTTGTTCCTCGTTCCTTTCCTTTTCCCGATTTAATATGATTTTTATATTTTGTACACAAAAGATTTAATTTATTTATTCTGCCTCCTTTTCCTGGGATTCGCGAATATCCAGAGATGTCGAGAAGACCCGTGGGAGGAGAGAGTAGAGGAGGAGCTTTACTTGAGAAATGGCAATAAGCAAATCATATTATTTTCGTTTTATTCCCCCTCCAGTTCCGATGGTTAGATAGTGAAGTGTATGTGACATGAAGAGATGAGGGATTGAGAAATCCAGCTAAAAAATAAAAGATGAAAAATGAAAAAAAAAAAAAAAAAAAAAAAAAAAAAAAAAAAAATGGACAGGAATAGGAGGGGAGGGAGGGTTTATCTCTTCGTCGCCGGTGTTTGGTGGGCTTCCACTTCATTTGGAGGTTTGGGCGTGGCAACCAAAGAAATATTTTTTTTTCTTTTTTTTTCTTTTTTTTGGCAGTAAATTAGTTTTACGTTAACCCACATTCGCAAAGGCGGTGAGAAGCTTTTCTAACCTCTTGTTGATTCATTCCCCCTGATATTTCACATTTTAACAGCGGGGGATGCTTTCTTCAAGCCATCATTTGAGACAGATGCTAATATCTTTTTTTTTTCCCTTCTCTATACTAACTATTCATCATCTCTATCTCTTCTACAGAGTACTTTTTGCTGCATTTCTTTTCCTTCTTTTCCTTCTTTTCCCGGGCGGGCGGGGCTCAGTGCCATATAACCACGTGACTTGGAAACCCTATGCCAAGCCAAGATTCTTATCTCCGGGTTGGTTGGGCAGGACTCAACGCCTTACCGGATCGGGTTAGTATAATTGATTTGTGGTCGGTCTCAATTTTTTTTTTTTTTTTTTGTCGCGAAACGAATCATTTAATATTCCATTCCAGGTTCCAGGAAGAATAGAATATTTAATAATAGACAGAAAAGAAAACTCGTCCGTAACTCTCCCATCTTTTTTTCCTGCTGCCTATCCCTCACACAACGAACCACAACGAACGCAAGGCAATTTCCCCCCTCCCTCCAGCCAAGACCAAACTATGATGTGAAAATCAAGAAGAAACAATATCAATTGCCCTTCTCTAGATCTGAGGGGGATGCACTCCATGCTGTACTGTACTGATATGGCGCATGAAAAGCAAGATACATACACACACACGCACACGCACACATATATATATATATATGAACATTGACATTATCGCTGATAAATAATACATGGTTCCTCCATTTCTGCCGCCGTGTAACAACAACACAAACACACAACACAACAGAAAACAAAAAAAACCCAGCGCCCCAGCCTCCTTTTAAACTGCCACGAAGTAGTTACTCCGTAGTCATTATTATTAAAATCCCCGCGAATTACTCCGGACACAAAAAAAGTGTCGTCGGAATCAGACTGGAGAATCAATGTCGCGAGCTCCCTTGCTGGCCCTGAAATCAAAGACAAGACTGAGATTGACTGAAACTTCAACAACATGAAACGGGTTGGATTTAACTATACCTAACCCTTAACCTAACCTAACCTAACCTAACCTAACCTTAACTAACCACATTTTATACCTTGATTTTGACAAACCTCCTGTGGAGTTTAGCGAAAGTAAGTCACATAGAGAGGTGAATAAGAACAGGATTCTGTTTCTTTTTTTTTTTTTTTTTTCTCATATCAAATGTTCACACAAAACAAGGTTTTATTTTTAATTGATTTGCGAATTTTTGTATGTGTGTAGATCATCAGGGAGCTGCTAGCTAGCTGAGCTAGCTAGTTAATAAGATAACCATATTTTCTGATTCCTCTTCTCAGAATCAACGGTCCGGCCCCCGGCCTGCTTTGAAGCAATTTTGTTCCAGGAAACTTGAAATAGAAATAATAAAAAAGAAGGAGTCCCCACCCACCCACCCATAACCATACGCAGTACATACCTAACCTTTCAAATCTAATGAGCCAAAGAACAAGGTTCAATACATGAGCAGATTAAACAAGGAATAAGGAGGGGGAAAAGAGGGAGTCGAAAACGGAGTGAAAAGCGGGGTGGTAAATTTTTTGTGAGAACTATGCTTATACCATCATGGGGAGGTCAAAAAGTAAAACGTAGCTACCTATATTTGCAATTTGAGATACATGGGAGAAGATAAGAAAGAAGAAATGGTAAAACAAGATATATTGAAGCGACGATTTGGGGGGATATAATGTAAATATTTCACATGCGTGTCAATAGCCCGGTCAATTGATCGGTCAATTGATCGGTCAAATGGAATCAGATCAAGATACATAGATAAGTAGGTTAGATAAAATAAAAAGCCAGCTGGTTTAAAAACGAAGGGCAACCAGATGACGGGGGAGAAGGAGGATGGGATGGGCGGAAAACGCTCGGCAAGAGAAATATGGCAGAACACAGTCAACAACAGAAAAAAGAAAAAAGAAAAAGAAAAGAAAAAACGTCCATCAAGCGGTCAATCATAAGCAGAAGAGGAAATGAAAGCAGCATATTCCTCCTCTAGAAAAAAAAATTTCTCTTCGTGTGTTCCTATATCCATGCATTCCCGCGAACCAGTCTCTCACTATCACCACCATATCCCTTCCCACGATATCCCTTCCCACCACTGCTATACCCAACCACATCATCAAAAGTACTCCGATACAGCCCTTCAATCTCCATGATATAGTCCTCCACCGCAAATTTATACAATCCCTTCTGCACCAGCGTCTGCTCCTCCTCCACAATCACAGCGTTCCGCACTGTAGCAAATTCCTCTGCGACCTCATTGACCTGCTCCAGCTCCTTGCCGAAAGGGTGTGGTTGTTGAGCGGTGGAGATGGAGTTGGGTGCGGAGTCTTCGGGGACCTGGTGGAGTCGTTCTTGGCTGAGGCGGGAGGAGCGGGTACTGCTTTGGGTGCTGTGGCTGCGACTGAGAGAGTGGGAGTGGGAGTTCGATACGGACTGGGAGTGGGTGAGGGAGGTGGTTGAGTCTTTAGATATTGATCTCTGGCGAGCTAATTCCTGATGAGATTTTTTTGTATGCGATAGTGATCGATGGGGGAGCTTTGGGGTTTGGGAGATGGAAGAGGAGGTTGAGGAGCGGGTGTAGTGGTGTGTTGAGTTGGAGCGCTTGGGAGAGTCGAAGAAACCAGAGAGATGATTCGGTTCTGGTGTGATGGGTGAAGCTTCTTCGGTCGACAGGTCTGGAGAGGTGATTGGGGTGCCGGAGCGTTGCGAAGGCGAGGGAATAGAAGACGAGGATGAAGATGCAGAAGATGGGTTTGTAATATCTGAGTCCGAACCGGAGCGGAAGGAGGAGGACGACGAATTGGCTTGTGATGCGGAGGATTTTTTTAATTCTGGCGATGGCTGGGATTTATTGATTTTAGATTTAGCTTTGGGGAGATCAGGCGCATTGTATGCGAGGAGGTTTGTGGTTGACAACAATCGCACTGGCAAAGAGATATCCTTTCGTTTGATTGTTCCCGCAGCGAATTTCTGTTGGCCTTCGCGATATGGCATGGGTGCGGAAACAACGACTGGCTTCTGCTGGCGCTTGGTAAACGCTCTGCTCAGTGAGCTGGACATAGTGGAGGTCGCCATGAGCAACTTCTCTGATCTGTTAAAAGACAAATCGGGGCCTATTTTGAGGAGTTCGGTGGTTTTGGTGGATGTAATTGTATGTCGCAGTGAGAACGACAAACCACCTATGCGAGGGGAGGGTTTGCGCTTCCCTTTTTAGATGTCAGGAGTTATCGATCCCCCACACACGCCGGTGGACGTAACCGTCGGATAAAAAGAAGGATAAATGTAAACCGAAACAACAAATACAAGTAGAAAAGAAGTGAAAAACTAAAAAAAATCAAGGGGTATATAAGCCCCAAACCACGACGCAAGCGGGTTTCGGGTTTCGGGTTTGGCAATAAAAAAATAACTAAGAAGTCGATTGATCCACGAGACGCTATATGTTTCCTGGAAATGGGGTACACTAGGTACTTGTGTGTATTTTGCCGGAAGAGGCAGAAGAGCGTAGTCCAGCTGCTGGTTTGAAAGGAGGGATAGTTGGGTCAATGTAAAGGGCTGAAAGCAACAGCGGCGCAGAGAGTTGGAAGAGATATGAATCAAAGAATAATGAATGGAAAGGGGGGGGGGGAGGAGGAGGAGGAGGGTTGATGCTCTGCAAGTTTTGTTGGTTTTGGCTGATGCACGAGGAAGAAGCGCGCAGTTGGCCAAAGAAGGGAGGGGGAGAAGGGGGAAAGAGGTGGGTAGAAAAAGGAGTGGGCGACAACCAGGACGCACGACGACCAGAGAAAGAAGGAATGTGAGAAGAAGAAGCGAAGATAAGGAGAGTGAAGTCAAATATTCCACAAAATGTACAGCATGAGAAGAGTAAGAGAGTGTGGATATGAGAGAGAGGACAGAAAATGACGACGAAGGAAGGTGATTATTGAAGAAACGACAGATAGAAGGAGGAGGAGGATGAGGAGGAGGAAGCGCACCACTTGCTGCTGAAACCCAGGAGTAGAGTAGAGTAGTAGTGTAGTAGTGCTGGCCCGTGGGAATGGGAGTGGGAGGGAGCGAAAGGGGTTTGGGTTTGACTGAGTTAGTTACGGGCGACAGCGACAAGGCGTGGATCTGGCATGGATCATCTGGCTGCTTGCGTTGACTCGTTGCTGATGGGCGCGCGCGGGGTTAGCACTTATTAGATTCTGGGCGCGCCGCTATCCCACACAGGAGTGAAGCATATCACTGACATATGCCAGTCGAAAGTCGAAACTCCCCAAAGGTTCAAATCAAACATTATCCTCACCATGGAACCTCTTGGCCTCTTGGCAGGGCAGCAACCATTCCATCGCAGCCTACCAGCCAAATGCCAGCAGCCAATGCCAGCTCTCAGTTCTGGATAGTGGGACCCGCTAAGATAACCGCCCCTGGCCCCTCAACCGTCAACCGTGTTTCCTCGACGACTCCGCTCGCCGACTCCTCTTGATTCCTTCCTCCCTCTCTTCTGCAACCGGTCACGTCCACCAGTCAAACCAGTCAAACCAGCCAAACCACTCGCAGAAGAGAAGCAACCCCTCCGCTGCAAAAATGCTTCCCGGCCCCTGGGCGGGCCCCCGCCATCCTCGCCCCCATTGGACGTTGGCCCTTGTCGCTGTTGTGACTTTTGTCAGGCGCCAGCAATCATGCACAACTTTTCGCGACTTGGGCAAACTCTACGGAGTTTCAAAAATGCGCCAGCGCCTGTGTTGATTGGCCTTGGACGGTTCTAGTTGAACGTGGTTAGAAAAATGCTGAACATGGACAGAAAAGGAAAATCAAAAATTCTAGTCATGTCACTCTAAAATACATAACATAGTACACACTACAATATTCAATACGCACAGGTATATATTGAGGATGAGAATTACAGAGTAGTTGCTCTCCAGAAGGATAGTGTAGTACACTGAAAAACACTTCTAATTTTTTAAATATTTATTAGAATGTGTACGGAGTATTTTAGATAGAGTTGACTGGCTAGATAACCCCGTTACCAACACCCCTGGACCAACGGGCCTGGCGTGGAGGTTTAATTCCTTGTGCCTGACCACTGACACCATATTCAAACTTTCGTCCCGCCCTTGGCTCGCTTCTTATTACTCTGCCATCCGTACTCCATTCATACTCCGTTGCTCCGTTCCTCCGTAGTTAACGCAAGGGGGGGGCAAGGAATGTGTCCGAGCGGTCTTTGCAGCTATGGCGCTTTTTATTAGTATTAATTAACTATTTATGCTCGATGTTCTGCATCTTCGAGCACGAAAAACAAAACCACAAAAAATAAAACAAACCCTTTTTTTCTTTTTTTCTTTTTTTCTTTTTCTTTTTTTTTTTTAGGCTCGCTCCCGACCAAAAAAGGAAAAAAGAAAGAAAAAGAGCCACTCAAAAGCCTTTCCACGAATTCAGGCAAAAACGCCTCAACCTAGGTGTCGATCTGCCACGTTGGAAAACAAGCTGGCAGAAAGTCCTTATTATCATTATTTTCAAACTCTCCCCACTCCACTCCACTCCACTCTTTTGCCTTTCCTTGAGAGCACTTTCTGCGAGCCTGCGTTGGCCGAGAATTCCTTTCTCCTTTTCGCTCCGAGAAATATCTCTTGTTTGCTGACCTGGTCCAGTCAGCTTTTCTTCTGCAGGACGGTAATCTGACTTCCGAATCTAACTTACCTTGGTATGATGATGGCACCGAGCGAAAAAGAAAGTGGAAAAGTTTGAGACTAAAAAAAGAAGTTAAAAAGAAAAAAATATTCATTGTCATCCCCGGGGTCTCATCAAATATTGCTGACCACCTCTCTCTCCTCCTTCCTCCTCCTCCTCCTCCTCTTACCTCTGATGCTATAAATATAATGTATATTTATGCATGTTAGCAATGCCTGACATAGTGCCAACCAACAACAACAATAATCACATACATCAAGAAAGTCGCAGGAAATCCGTTGGTTTCTTTCCCCTGAGCTACGTCTCTGAACCTCTTTCATCATTTTTCCACCCAACCAACCTCAAAACTCAGGTTAGCGAAACGTAGAATCAGCACTCAACATCCAACATCTCACTGTATTCGGAATTTATATATATATATATATATATATATCTCTCTCTCTATAGCTAGATATACCTTCAACCTTCATCTCTCCTCTATACACACTCCTCTCCCCGTGGATCCTCTTCAGAGAAATTCCGCATAAGCTTCTGCTCAATGCTCACCATCAGCCATCACACACACGGCGCTTCACATCACCTGGCGGTGAACCGTGAGACATTTTTTTATCTTTAATTTTTTAATTTTCCGATGTTAAAAGAATTATTCTTTCTCATAGAAAAGTAAAATATGTTTTCAACAACAACAACAACAACATTGAAGTGATAGGTAGAAAAGATGTTTTTGATTCATTTATATAAAAAATAGTTTTTAGTAAAAGTAATTTAGTCAGTTAAATAATTTAAAAGAATGATAGAAGCCCAAGTTCTCTCTCTCCTCAGCTACTTTGACTGAGCGGGCTGATCTTTGAAACAGGCTAGAATCTCATCTTGAAACACCAACTGTTTCTGTTATAACTACTGATGATCAGTACTCTCTTGCTTTCACCAGTCACTTTTGAACATTGCTGAAGTCAAACAACATTCATGAGAGAGGGAAGAAGTTGAGAAAAGATTTAATAAAAATAACTAAGAGAGAAGATCTCACACCTTGAAACTGGAGAAAATTATTGAGAATTGAAGTTTCTTGTTCAGTTATTATTAACTTACTATGTATCTACTAATAAGAATAGAAATAAAAATAATCAGAAGTTATATTTTATTATTTATACTTGTCTTTTCTCTGAAAAAATATGCAAGACTTTTTAATATCTATATTTATATCTCCATGCATTTTTCAAATAGTGAAAAATTTTACCAAGTATTTTTTTCATAAGAGTACACATACATAACTAACTCAGATAACAAAGCATAACTAGTTAAAGTTATACACACAGAGTGCTAATGTATACTGAACTGTGTCTTACAAGTTGCATGTTAATATCACTCACATCTTTGTATTTCAGATCTTAACTACATATGCTGTACATTTGAGAACTCTCAGAGTGAACAGAATCTTGAAAAGATGTTGAATATTCAGTTTAAAATATTATTGAAGATATGTATGACAGAGAAATATTATTCTGAGTGATCTATGAATGCAAGACACAGAGAATGTATTGTATACTACATTCTGTCTCATCATCAGTATTATTATTTTTACTGAAAGAAAATATGTCAGTTGATGATAAGATTAAGATGTGTGCATGCATAAAACTTCTTACAGTAACATGTTGCATTTATGTACATGTATGATGTATGTACATGTACATTACAATTAAAAACTATCACACAAACAGACACAGACATACACTGTATATATCAAGCTTTAAAATAGACACTTCAAGTCCAGGTGAATGAACATTCATGGAACTTTAGAAAGTAAAGAAGAAATCATACTCATCTCTTCTGTTCTGAATCTTGTTGTTTCTCTCTGATAAGCTAATTGCTAGCAGTCAGCCTGTCTGCACTGATCACTGGGATGATCTACTCAATATACATGTATATGCATGCAGGCCCAGCTCTGGTTCCATGAGAAACACAGTAAATATGTTTTAAAGCTTGGGTTAATCATTCGCCTGGATCATTGCATCGTGTTCATTCTATATAGACTTCATTGTGGCACAGTTATTGCTTTGCTTGTCTAGAGCAGTGCAAATGACAGTAATGTAGCATTAGGTACTTGCCAGTATGATAGTTACTTTGCAACTGGCATAATGGGGGGGAAAAAAAAAAGAAAGAAAGAAACTGGTTAGATTGTTGGGGGACATGGGATGAATTCAATAATGGAAAAAAGATAAGGGCGGTGGAGGTGGTAGGGCAAATAAACATTTTGAAAGGACCTGTGTACGGAACAAATAGTGGTTGAGTTGCTATAGCAATTGGCGTTGTTCCAAGGTTCTTTGAAATGCAGTCAAGGGAAGGGAATATTGTGGGAAGTGGTTTATCCAAGAACATAGAAGCAAGAGCTTCAAGAATCTTTTGACTTTTGGCATTGTTCCTTCATTTGGAGTGGAAGAACAATCTAGGAGATGTGCGCGCGCAGAAGATTGAGATGAAAATGTAAAAGAAAAAGGGGCTAATCAAATCGTGTAACTATTTCTTTTCTTTTCATTGCAATCGCAATTTTAAAATTGTATATATCCAGATGAACTCCGTAAAATGCTCCGTGGTAAAGGCAGTAAATAACCCGAGGAAGGGTGATAAAGGAAACAAATTATATATAAAAAAGATCTTAATCCTCATCGATGGATTCCCATCCATCTTGACCCATCTCCCCACCCCCCTCAGCCGCATCGGAATCATCAGAATCACTGTCATTCTGTGATATGCCAATCATCCGTTCCCTAACTTCCTCCCCCGCTGAGGGCCCCAAGCGCGCAGAAAAAGCTCTGCGCACAGCTGCATTCGTAGACGTATCCCAGATCTGCACCACCCCTTTACTCCCCGCAACCGCAAGACGGAAACTAACCTCCTGATCTGGCGCAAACGTTGTGGAGAAGACCTTGCCAACTTCAAGTTTCCGCGAAACAACCATATTGGGTTTATTATCCTGCACGTTCCAGAGCTTGACTTGCTTGTCAGTCGAGCCAGTAACGAGGAAGCCAGGTATAGTTGGGTTGATGTCGAAGGACGAAACGGATGAGTCGTGCGCTTGTAGCATCCATACTGCCTTTGGGTTTTCTGGCTGGGCGGACGCTTGTCGGACGTCGTGGCAGTACACCATCCCGCCGTCGGTGGTGACATAGAAGAAATTGGGATCGTGTGGGTCCCATCGAACGTTCTCGACGTCGCTTTCAACTCGCCATCTAGCAGCCTTCGCGTCTGGGGTTCTCATGTCAGCAGCTACAACGGTCCTATCGTAACTCCCGCTTAAAAGGACTGTTGATTCCTTCGGGTGCCAGTCCAAGGCACAGATTTTATCGGTATGGTTGGTATAAGACTTTGCACATTTGGTTGTATTCAGGTCCCATAGCTTGACAGTCTGATCCGCTGAGGCGGACGCGAGAAGGTTGCGATGCTGTCTGTTAGCTGCCAAAGCAAGGACGGAGTCCACATGGTACTCGTCATTCGCTTTCTTGGGCTTTGTCGTCTTCTTCTTCTTCTTCGTGCCTGCCTCCGAGCTTTCCTCTTGGCCGCCTTGGCCTAGGATGGCATTTGGATACATGCAGTCCACAATATCTAGGTCCCAGATTTCGATATCTGGCTCCATCGTGCCTACTGCGACAAAGTTGCCGTACGTTCTGTTTTCTGAGTTCCTGCCAACGGGTATATCCAACCACTCCAGGCACAATGGGATTGCTGGCAACATGACATCGTGATGTACGTAGAGATTATCTGCCTCGTCTTCGTAGACATAGACTTCCATGTGTGCGACTTCATCTTCCACCTTAGCGGCCAGAAGAAGATTATCCGTGGGTAGAATCTGTAACTCTTCTCTCTCGTCGTCCTCGTCATCGTCAACTCCCTCTGGGACAACTAGATATGGATCCTCCTCGTTAGGTTGGTGGTACGCAAGCGACCTGATATTTCCGAACATGGTGACCTTTTCGCCATCTTCATCTACAGGGTCACTGTCATAATTATCGAGGTCGTATTCCTTCAGATCGTCATCATCGATGCTATCGCCTTTCTTGCCATCACTGCTAGACACAGACATGAGTTAGCAAGCGAACGCGAACCCCTGAGCATTGGGAGAAATGTACCCGTTTGTCTTCTCCTTTCCCTTTCCCTCCCCACTTGACTTTGCAGAATTCTTTTCAACCTCCTCTTCCCCTTCCTTTTCCACTTCCATCTCGTCCTTGCCATTTTTATTCTGCGCTTGTTTTAAATCCATCTTCGCACCCTCGAGCTGAAGCTTCGCGAGCTCCGATATTCGATTGATCTCCTCTTCGTCGATTTCATATTTTTCTGGGAATGGCGCAGCCACACCGCGGCGCACCCATGTAGTTGCTGTTATCATAGACATCTCGCAGGACTTCGAAGGTGAAAATTTACGGGGGTGATATTTAAATTATTGCAAGAATATGGCGGGCAGGGGAGAAGGAGGAGCGGTGAAAAGCCCTACTTAGCACGCCTGTTTCGAAGGGATAAAACACTTCCTCTTCCTGAAGTTAGTTACAAAATAATAACTCCGGAATAGAGAAAATAAATATCCAAAGAAGAACGTCGCTTACCGCACTCCGCTTTTTGCTGACCCCGAATGGTCGCTCAACTTTTTTTTTTTTTTTACTATGCATGTGCGGGACAAACCGTTCTCTCACCGCCTGGCAGAATATTCGGAAGCTTGGCGCTAAAGCCAAATGGACGGCGGAGAGAACTGTTCGTCTCAAACCATCAAGCAATGCAACGAACACCTTCCCGCAACTCCGCTAATACCGACGTCTTACTCCTTAATCCATTCGCTGAGAAACCAAATCATTGCCCAAGGCGGCGAGACCCGTTTTATATAAACAAAAAAATGCATTCTCACCTCCACACCAAAGATAATACCAGTGCGTTTTCACCCCACCCATCCCATCACCCAATACCATCCCCTCCCCAGGTCAAGTCCAAATTATCCCTAATGAAGTAACTGACCCATTTCCTCCTTTCTTTCCTATCTAGATTGCACGGAGATTATGACCATGCTCGACAAATGCCATGCTCAGGGATTCCTCCACAAAGCGTTTGCCGGGTGCAATGAAATCAAACGAGAGGTAAACCGGTGTCTCGGAGCGGAAAGATATCGGCGCGCTCAAAACAATCGGGATAAGGCGCGGGAGGACCGGAGACGGATTGAGGAGGTATGGAAGAAGGACGATGAGCTGTGAGGAGAAGCATTTTATACTACAGCCCTACCATGGTCCATTGGGAACAGTTGAGGGAGGAGTCGATTTTTCAGGACGAACGACATATCCAGAGCTGGGGGTGTTTTTGGCGTTTGGTCATATGTGATTTGCAATATGTACGCCACTGGTTCCAATCTAATCCTTTCCAAAGATGTATTTATTTGTTGGACTCTCTTCTCCAAGCACGATTGATCGGAAATGCAGGGATATATTCCTGTGTGAATAATCCACCGCCTGTCGCTCTCAGTAATTATTGTATTTATACATGTATATAATATATATACCCTTTAGTCCAAACGGGATTATAAATTTCCACTTTCCAGAATACTGCTATGTAACTCCTCAGGAGGGGTAAGTACGCCGCAATTGAATATTACACATTATAAATCATTTTTATTCCGTCAAACATCACGATTCAACAGGAAGCGACTCCCCAAGTTGCGGCATGCCGGGCTGTTGCTCTTTATCCGGTTTATGGGACTTATGTCTTCTCTTCCTCTTGGTTTTCACTGTCGATCCACCGCCACCACTCGATAGCTCCTTGGTATTTTCATCTTTTGAATCGCGCGTAGGCTGTTGTTCCGCCTCGATAGGTCTTCCATCTTCGTTCTTTTCACCTCCACTGCTACTACTCGGCTTAGCCTTGGGTTTTGGCTTCTTCACACTCAACGGATTTGGGCCTTTAACTCTTTTCTGCTTCTTTTCCTTTGTAGCCACTGATCTATCCTCATCCTCCCCTTCCTCCGAATCAGCCCTTTTCCTCTTTCCCGGCATCACCTTCGTGATACCAGTCTTCAGTTTCCCCCGCTCAACCCCTTCCCTCACTCCCTCTGACGAATTACTCAGGGGCTCTAATACCATCACAGATCGTTTCACGTATATAATTGGGACGCCAGGTATCTGCCGCGCACCCTTCCGCAGATAATTTGTCGGCGGCTCGGGTGCAGTCGCAGCTATGGATTTCCATTTCTGGGTATGGGAATTAGTAGGCTCGGGGTCTGCCGTGGCCAATATATAATGTTCTTTATTCTTTTTCAATTCTGCATTAGGTGATAATAGAGAAAGAAGACAGTCGACTTCGTCGATGGGTTTGGAGTCTTCGTTATGTGAGCAGTAGCGAAGGGGCAGGATCGTGGGTGGTGGGAGCTGTGGAGGGCGCGCGTTAGGTCGGGCGATTGATTGCTGATATTGTTGGGTGGACGGTGAAGCCATGACGGCCGCGAGGGAACACTTCGTAATAACTAAAGATAGGGAGAACGTTCCGTTGTAAGTATATATTGCTCTCGATGGAGAAAGGGAAGGGAGTAAAAATGAGGATACTTACATGGCTTTACTTTGCCATGTAACGTTCGCTCGAGGGCGGGAACTAGATCCATCTTGAAGGAGTAGACAGCTCTTAGAAAATTCGAATCGACTGTGTGCACATCGGTTAGTCCTTTTCCACGCAGGAATTATCAAAAAGGGGAGGAGGGGGAGGTGCCGACGCGTACCAAGTACCTGGTATGGCTCGCGAAAACCAAATGTGAGCTCATACTGGTGCATGAGCTTGCGATACTTCTTTGACCGTTTTGCCCTCATTGTGATGGTTCAATCTCGGCGTACTGAAAGTTGGTGCTCTGGGAAAACAAGAAGACGAGGTGAACTGCTCAGGTATGAGGCCAATGCGCTCCAGCGATTCTGAATTATTTCCCAACTTGGAAATCTTCGATGCCAAGAAACGGAGGAGAAAAATTTAGGTTGTTACCCTAATCTAGTTTAGCGCAAATTTGGTTCGGCTTTAACCGTTTGTGGATCTCAGCCCTATATCAACTGAAGATATCCAGCCAGCTTGAACAATGCAGAAACTAGAAACTATCAAACTCCGTTGACAAGGGAAGAAAACAATATATTACCGACAAAAAGCAAGGCCAGATTGAGGACTAAGGAATTATTGAAACCCCCTGAAAGTCACAAAGCTGGCCAACATCATGAAGGAGAAACAGAAGAAGTTCAAGCAGTAGCAATTAAACTAAACCCACGATCTCTAAAATACTAATTGTGGAAGTCTTCTTACGCCCATGTCCATGTCAACGAGTACGCTAGCTGGCTCGACCTTATGCTGAACGCTGGTTTCTCTTTGTCCGCTGGTTGGCCTAGGCCTTGCTTACTTTTTCTTTGAAACGCGTACAAACTCACAGCCAACCACACACTTTCTTCCAAGAAGCCCGATGGCATTTGGGACGGCCTGGCTTTATGGACGTCGACGTGCTGCTGTTCACTCAATGCCAAGGATTCGAGAACTCGCGATCATGTCGCTGAGACTGCTGAAGTTCGCAAGCAATGAGGCTTCGTCGGACGACCCAGCGGCCGGAAACTCCGGTTGGGCCATTATCCCCCCCTCCCCCCCCAACTTTTCCAAACTGGTTGGCGAAGTCGGCTCCCAAAACCGTATTCACAGGCACGTGCGGCCATTCGCACCTCGCATCAGCTCAGTAGCTTCAAGCAAGCAACGACCTTGGCCCGACGTTATGATGAAGTCCGCATCTTCTCAGAAACGAGCAGGCTGCCGATGCCTCTCATGCTACCAAGGTGTCCTGTCCTCGTCTTGTCGGAAGTGAGAATGTAACCGGGCCCCTTCGACTGTATCGCCTGGACTTGGTTAACAAAGATCCTTGAAACGAATATATCTCTCAATAAAGAGGTCTAGTCTATAGCAATGATTACATTTGATCATCTCTGCACCTAAATTACTTACAAAGAGAAGCCAGGATGCGAAACTCGTCCTACGCAACGAAGCAGGGCAGTCGAGAATTTCTAAATAGGTTATCTAGCTACAAAAAACACCAAGAAGGCAATGGATGGTGGATGATTGTTGTTTGATATATTTTTATAACTCAACTGCACGTTAGCTTCCAAGATATAGATATTAGCGGGATAGGTCCAGGGTTAAATCTGAATTCAGTAAGGCAGATCTACAATTTGCAGCATGTGTTGGAAAGAGAATATCAAAGCCTCCTTGGAACCTTCAACCTCTGGCCTGAAACACTCCTCGAGGAGAATTTAGTTAGATAACTACTCTGCAGTATACCTGAAATCATGTCAGATGAATGAAAATATATCGAGCAAGTCAAAGTCAACGTGACTAACTATTATATCGCTACTCACATAAATCCTAGTTGTATGTTCCAAAAGTTCATAAAGCCTTCTTCAAAAAATGACAGTAACCATAAATACTAGAAATAGCCGCCGTGTGGGCAGGGTAAGTGAATATTCTAAATTAATAATTCATAATAATAAATAATTAAACATTATTGGGAAAAAAAAAAAAAAAACTATTTTCCCTTTTTTCTAAGCTATCTCACATAAATCATTCTCATCGTCAAGATACGTCAAATAGAGTATAAAAATAATCACGTCACTCGAGAGGGAGTGAAGGCTTAGTTCCCGGTCCATCAAGATAGAAAAAGAAAAAAAAAAGGCTTAAACCCAATATACGGGTCCTCGTCGTCTCTTTTTTGGGTACGGGACGTGTGGTTGTATATATATTCAATAGCCGCAGACTATGGGGACCTGGGTAGGTCATTCCGATGGAAGCCAAGGACGACCATCAGGGTGATCATTTAGTTAGTTCACCGTTGTACTCCGAGTTGCGTGTTACACAGCCTCGATTTAAATAGCCTGAACATCCAACACGGAGAAAGTCAGCATGATATTAAAGGAATACAAGGCGATGGGGTTAGGATTTACCGAGAAACGGGGCTCGAAAGAGTGGTTGTATCTAACCGGGGATTAACCAACTCTGGGTGGCGGGGGAATAGGGGGTCGTCAACGCCCTTTTGCGTGAGTCCTCTGGGGTTGCAATTCCGTAGTCCGACCATAGTGTTCTTGTATCGAATAGAATACGATACATGACGTGGAAACATTCATTGGTTCCGCTTCATACACCTTCCAATAACCACACTGATATCATCCATCTTGCCTAAACCACTGATTAGCAACGGTCCAACCCCGAAAATTTGTCCATGCGCCCTCCCACGGGGCGTGGGAAAAATAACAACATACCCCCTTCGATAGTCAACCCCTCGTCTATAGCTTTCTCCATGTACGGACTTTCCGCAAACGGATCCTGCGCAATCGCCTTCGCAGCCTGGAGTAAATTTCGGGCAGCATAGACAACCCCACCGTTTCCATCAGCAGGCTGATCGGCAAACATATCGGCATCTTTCTTCTTCCCAGAATCCCACTCCTCCAAACTATCCAGAACCACCTTCATCACCTCATGTTCCCACAAATTATCCACCACGCCGTCCGACACAGCTACGACGAGGTCCTTCTCCTGCAACTCGACCTGTGTCGATTGCGCATTTTCCTTAGGCGTGTCTATGCTATTCGTGCCCAGCTGCATGGGACAATCGAACCAATGCCACTGGCCCTCCGTTTTGAACACGACGCGTTGTTCGCTCGGGCGAATCACCAGCAGCTGGCAATCGCCCAGCGTCGTTACGTGGAGCATCGGCGCGGGCGCGCCTGAATTTGTGGTATAGTGGAGCACAGCCGTAGTGGAGGTTGTGGTGCCCAGCCACTCATTTGGAGTCGTAGTAGCTTCGACGGTCAGTTCGTAGGCGCGTTGTAGGTACGAGACGACATCGGGAGGGGAGTATTCGTTTACGTTGCGCTCGACTTCTAGGGCCCAGAAGTGAAGGATAAGTCGGGACCACAGACTAGAATATATGTATAGATAACAAGGTTAGGCACCTCGCTTCCCTTTTCTTTTTTGCGCTTTCTTTTTCTTTCTTTCTTTCTTTCTTTCTTTCTCTCGTCTCCTTTCTTTTTTGTTTCGCATTACAAAAAAGGAATTGAATTCTTCTTTCTCTTACGCTGCATGACCTTGCGGCTTGGTTGCCCAAGCTCCCACCCCATCATTGACACCCAGGTAGTTCTCCGACACAAGAATTGCATCATCACCATTCGTCAAGCCCCGGATCAGCTCCCCTCTTACGGACGGTCGCTTATCCTGACTTCGAAAGTGGGTTGTCAGAGGGTCGGAAAAGGAGGTAGACGGGTTTGACACGAAGGGCGGCGGGAACGGGCGGGAAGGTCTTTTGGGACACAGGGCGTAGCCAGTTTGGAAGTGGAAGGGAAAGGAAGCGAGAGGAGTGGGCGTGCGGTTTTTAGGAAGAGGTGTCACGACGCCATAGGTGGGTGCGGTAGCTCTGTAGCTGACTAGACTGCGACGGGAGAAGCATGCTGGTGCTGGTGGTGCTCGTCTAGCAGGGGATATGATGGAAGAAGTTATAGAAGAGTAAGAGGAGCGATTGAGGGGGGAAATATTAAGGACCATGCCAGCGCGAGAAAGGAGTTCTGTCGCCTTGGCCACGCGGAGGGAGATGGGTCAGTACATCCTGATATTACTTACTGTTATTATCAGAACCAAAATGAAGAAGAAGGAGGGGAAGAAGAAGAATGTATCGAGAGAGAAAAAGGAGATGAAACGGTTGGAGTGGAGCAGAGCCTGGCTCGCGCTGGTTGCTTCCAAGGCTGGCAGCAAGCAAGTTGGCAGGGAGAGCGATGTGATAAATAGAGCAACCCCCCATACATACCCATACATACCATACCCGTACCATACCATACGCCGAGCCTTATCACAATTTATTCATGCTGTCAGGATGATGCCAAGCCACCCTCGTTACGTGGTTGTTGAGTTGGGAAAACTCCGAGACGGCGTTACGTTACCGTTACCAAACATCTCCATCTGTGGACAAACATTTAACAACTACGTTACTACCATTTCCACTTCAGGAGACTTATTATATACATACAGACCTCAACCCAAAATCCATATCACACATCTACAATGCTGGCGTGTTTCCGGATTACATACATGTATATATATATATGCCATGGTGTCGGCGTATCCACTCTCACACCCTTATTTATATATATACAACCAACCCCCCCCCCCTAGGCCATCCACAGTGGCAAGGCAAGGCAAGGCAAAGCAGCTAGACACACTCCCTGCTCGCCATCCCATGTCTCCTTCCTACGTGACAATGACGTCCAGCGTGCTTTTTTATTGATTCCTATGTTATGCCTGCCCCTCAATGCTTGCATCCATTTCATTGTCACCGGTTGCATTGCGTGGGGGTGTTCTTTATCAATTAGGCAATATTTATTGAACAGAAGCCTGATATTGGGTACAATGAATATGCTATTGTGTATCATTATTATCGTCAGGAAGAAAGAAATAATAAAGAAAAATAGGTAGAGAAGTGAGCTAGCTATTTTTCTGTTGTCTTCTTTTTTTCGAACAAAAAATCAATTGACTTTTAAAGCAACATCTGTTTTCAACAGATAATCCATTTTCAAACCTCCATATTCCCATATTCCCTAGATTCAATTCCCATTTACATCATAAGTCGTAAAATAAAATCACAGAAGACTAAAATACATTGTGACAACAAAAATGGGCACTTACATCACAACCACCATCCCCATGAAAACCTCCCTCGTCATTGTCATAAAACCCAATAAATCTCTCCCCTACATAGCTCCCATAATCTCCCGATACGCCAGAGCCTCCTGAAGAAAAACTTCCGCACCAGCCTTAACCTCCATATACACCTCAAAAAAGCTCAACACGATCCCTTTCCTGACGCTGCAAAACCCTGCAAACAACGCGCAACCTAACTGCGCACACCGTCTCGAGAAATTCTGCCTCGGATCCAATATCACCACCCCCTGCTGCTCTTGGTATCGCCGTTGCTCGTCTTCATCCCATGCGTCTGATAACATCGGCTGGCCATAATACTGCCCAGCGATCTCAACGTCGCAGATAACGCTCATCCGCGGACTGCATGGGCACGCACGGACGTCTTTGAGTGTGCATTTGCGCGCGCAGGAACAGTGTCCGGAGCAGATGCAGAGTTGATCACGGACGTACTGGCGCAGCGCTCGTTTGCCTTCGGTGCGCCTGTGCTCGCCGACGTAGATGCCGTTGAGAATGGCGTAGGCGGCTTCGCGGTTTGCTTCGGTGCGACGCCGTTCGGGGAGGAGGCGGTGCGCTGATAGTGTTGCGGATGATGATGATGAGGAGGTGGTGCTGGAGGAGGTAACGCTGTTTTGGCGTTTGACTGCCATTGTTGCGGTTGGAGCTGGAGTTGGTCTTCCCATTCCTGTCGCCCCGTGTTCATGGAGGTTATTATTGTTGATGGTATTAACGCTATTCCAGTCGGCTTGTTTTTGGAACCCGAGATATTTCTCTGACAGCATGGCAAGCACCATGTTGGGCGCTCTTTTATAAATAGGGTCCAGACCCGTCCACTCTCTGGCGAAGGGCGAATTGGGGTCCAGGACTACCGTCTCGACATGCCTACGATACTCCCTCACATCAGCAGGACGACAACGTCCCTTGTTCACGTTATTCGCAACATAGGCCTCAACCGCATGCTGGACATAAGCGGCCTTTTTCATGCTGATGATCTCTTGGTCAAGAACACCGCTGATATCCTCTGACGTGAGCAGCCGTTTGCAGGCCTGGAAGATCACGATGACCTGGCCTGGGCCTGGGAGATATCGTTCCACAGCAGATACGGATAGATATTGACTCTGTCCCGTCTGTGCCGTGGAGCTGCTATTCTTGCCGCGGTGTGGTGAGCTCCCACAGAGTTGCAAGTTGGTGATCTCGATGTTGAGCCGTGCATAGACTGCGTAGAATAGATCTTCGATGGTCTGGAGGAGCTGCGCGGTGGAGTCCTGAGCCATCTGGTCCTCGACCTGTTCGATGTGGAATTTTATGCCGCTGGGCGCGTTGTCGAGCTGGAGATGATGAAGGTTAGTCGAAAAAACAATCATTGTGTGGTGTCTGTCCATCTGAGTATTTCCCTCCTTATGAACTGGGAAACGATACTACATACCTCCACGCCATACGCCATCAAAATGATGAAGACGAACTTGGCAATGCCATAAATCCTGGAATATACTGCTACGATACAGTCATGCCTTTCCCTGGCCTGCTGCAGTGGTTCTCTTTCTCCGTCCCGGTGAGAGCTAGCACGCGCTACGGGCATCTGGACACTTTTTGGTTTCTGCATCATGCTGCTGGAAACTGGAAATCGTTGGGTGGTTAAGATGATGTGGAAAAACGAGAATGGATGGATTCTGATGAGAGTGGAAGCTAGAGTTCGGGATGTAGCGTGTATGAACGATCTATCTAATATTTGTTCGTTCGGTTTGTAGTTTGTGCCTGCGTTCAGTAAGGTACGGAGGGGATGAAGACGAGGACGAGAGGCTTTGTGGGAAGAGGAGTATAGAGAGGGGAAAAGAAAAGAAGGGTAGGAAGGAAGATGGGTCAGGACGGAGAGGGAGGCTGATGTTGAAGAACGAGCAGGCAAGTTGCAGCTGGTACGGAGTTGCTCCTTTGTTTGTTCTCCCCAGCCTCCCTCGACTGTAGTTCTATACCTCTTGCATTCACGCGCTGGCAATTGAGAACGAGGGTTTTTATTTGTCCAGGCTTTCTCCTTAAGTGTATTGAAAAAGGAGAGGCTGGTGGAGGGGAATGAAAAACGGTGAGTGAATATGATTTGGTGGGGATGGTGCGGGATGGGGTGTTATATCTATGGGCAATATACTATTGTGATACGTGCATCGTGTATACGATCTCATTGTTTTATAAGGATAAGCCAACGTTGTGGGGAGGTGGTTGTGATACAATAAAGAAGGAAAAGGTGAACACTCTCATTGAGATATAATCAATGCCCGCCCTCTCATTACATAGACCTCTGAGAGTCGATAATAGCGAGCATGAATTAATAGGCAGTTCAGGCAGAGTCCACATTACATTTTCTCTCCCATTCATACAATGGCATTCACCCATTCTCGATTTCTGAAGGGCTGGGGATGTTAAATCCACTATCCCCGCAGTGGATGTGAATTTGTCTCGAGGCAAACAAAGATGTGGTCAGATTATGGTCATACTGTGAATAGGGAGTTATCCAGGGATAGCACTGCAATTGAGTTCATTGGGTGTTCATGGCGCCTGGTTTGGAGGGAAAGCAAGCAATATCACAGTCAAAGGAAACCGCAGAGAATATATAGTTAAGAGTTAAGAGCTTCTAACAGCCCCTTCGAATAATGTGGCCGCTCAAACGAAGAAATGCGGAAGCGTATTCAGAAACGAGGGACGTTGTTCAGCTTCGAGGTTGATGCTGTGGTTGCTAAAGTACAAATCCACCCATGCTATCATCATATAAATAAATGAATACGGATAGCTGTGCGACATTTGTAGATAGCTAACCTTTCATAAGACACATATCTGACAGCTCGCACACGGCCAACTATACCAATCAAATCCACGAGCGGTAATGTTTTCAAAGAGGCATAAAATAAAAAGTAAAATAAAAAATTGCAAACATAGACGGTACGAGGAGCTCTATAAAATATATATATATGTGTATATATCTTTCGTATGATATATTTATGAGAAATTTTGAAATATGAACACAGGAATGTATATATATATGAAAGATATGAAAAAAAGGAGGTAGGAAGGGTTAAAACATACTAGAAAGAAATTCAGGGGAAACAAATTTCAAAACCTAAATGTGGAAGGTGTAAACCTTGCGGATCTCCTCCATGAGAAGATGAACATCCAACACCACAGCTGTTGATTTGGATTCTTGTATCTCCTCAATCTTCTTTTGAACATATCCTCTCCAATTGTTGGGGAGGGCAGAGTAGAAGATGTCAAATACCCACGCATCTGGGGGGGTAGCATCCATCATCTCCAATTTCATGATAGCGGCCCGGAACTTATCAAAGAACATGTGCAGGTTAGTGACCTGCGTGCCACCAAGTGAGGTGAATTCCAGGACTGCCTCACGGCGTAATTGTGTCTTTGGGATGGAGTATTCCTCTTCGATTGCATGCCAGAGGGTATAAGCGATCCGATCCTCATCATATTTGTAAAAATGTGGCCTGACGCCGGCACCCAATGAGTTCGAAATGAATGTGTAGAGCCATCGGTTCCTAGCATCCCAAAAAGGAGCCCATTCAACATCTTGAAGGGGGTTCTGGGCCTGCTGTTTCTCTATTATATTCCAACACTGTGCATCAACTAGTTTCAATTTCATGGAGATGCTCCAGGTGGTGTAGTTGGATGTGCCGGTTAGACTGTTTGGCCTCACAGCATTCTTGACATCTTCCTTGAATTGGGAGATTGCCTTGCCAACACGGCTATCCGGATCATAGAGGTTGTATTCCAACCTTTCACCGAGATTGGGATCCCATGTGGGCGTACGGGCCGTAGAAGTGGTGGGAGGATGATTGTTGACATCCTGAGATTGATTCTTAGAGGATCTCTGTTGACGGAGTTTTTCCAGTTGTAATTTGAGCTCTAGGGCTCTACGCCTCTCCTTCTCCATCTCAAATGTCATCATAAGATGCTGCATCTGCTGGTCTGATATGGCCTCGCCCGAACGGTAGACACCTGGGTGACCGGTATTCTCATCATGAGAGCCAGCTTCATCAAGCTGTCGGGTAGATCGGGGGGCCGGCCTGACTGTGTCAGGGGCTGTATTCAAACCAGATTCGAATTGGAAGGGTGTTTCGGGAGGTTCATTAATGGAGCTTTCAAATGCTCCAGGAGGATGTCCACTGACAGAGCTTGAGTGTGAAGAATCATCATCACCAGCAACTGACCCAGTGGGTAGGACGCGAGATCGTGAATGTGTGTGAGAGTGAGATCGTGATGGATCCGCCATTTTGATATTCATTTATTGGATCCTTGCCAATATTGTTTTCTTTTTCTTGCTTTTTTTTTGGCAATGTGGTGCATTCCCCGCAAGCTTCTTCTAAGCGAGCAGTAGTATTAACTAGGGCGTGTTCGGTTGCACGGTTAACCTCTGTTAAACCTACCCCCAAAAAGTGGATATTAGCGTGCTGCCGGCGTTGATTTTTCAAACCTTGATTGCCACCCTAATCTTGTAGTGGTTTTGACGTATTTAATCAATTACACATAATAGTGACAACGTAGATTTCTGTTTCTTCCATTTTAACCTCACCTATTTTGTATGATAGAGCTGTGCAACATGCCAGGCAGTCAGTCTTCAAATAATGGGGGTCTTGAACCCGAAGAAATGCCAATCTCATCAAGCCAGTGGCCGAGCTCACCCTCACCTGCCATATTGCCTGCCACGCCAATAATAATAGGTGTCCCATATCATCAACCCGCCGCCAAATCTGCCTCCCAATATGCCGCGCAATATGCCTCCCAATATGCCTCCCAATATGCCTCCCAATATGCCTCCCAATATGCCTCCCAATATGCCTCCCAATCCGCCTCCCAATCCGCCTCCCAATCCGCCTCCTGTATACATATTTCATGAAGTGCAGCAATGGATGAGGTAATGCTGCAGGGCCTGCTTGACATGAAAAAGAAAGGCTGAGAAATAGACAATGAAAACTTCAAGCCTTATGAATAAAATATAATGATTCAAGCTGTTCAATGTGTCACTCATCAAATGATCAATAAAATCAATCTTGATAGTTGATGAAGACAATTTAAATGTATGTAATGACTGTGAATGAAACATAAGAATCAGATCTCTGACTGAACTTGATATATAGAACATGAAATAGACATTAATAACTCAGAGATTATGAAGAAGTATTTTCAATATTATTCAGATATGAAGATATTTCAATATCAGAGATTTAAATTTTAAAAGTTGAATAAGCAACTGCTTTATGATAAACTTGTTATAGAATAATATACAATTGATTTTCAAGCTATGAGACAGTAGCTTGATACAGATGATGACTTATATTCTCTCTTATTCTCTATGTTAAATGTCTCTTTGTCACGCCCCTGGCCGCGTCAAGGTCTCATTGCGGCTTCACGCGGCTCATCACTTCTCTGCAGATGATTTCATTCATTCTGCAGACTGTTCAAACTGGTTTTCAATCACTCTATAACATCACTCAGATGCAATATAGAAGAATCTAATTGATAAATATAAGAATTTCACTTCTATACAAGATTAGCAGATTGCTTCTTTCATAATAGTGAGACACTGCTGAGATATCACTTCAGCTATTCTCAATTATAGAATAGAAGAAGAGTATTCACTCATTATCTATATAGAATAGCTAGATACTGACTCTCTATTAAAAAAGTCAGTAATTCATTTTCTTCTACTGATAATATATACAAGAGTTACTGTAATTCTCATACAATCTTCTTAGTATACTAAGTACTATATCTATAATATTCTTGTAATAACTCTATAGCTTACAAGCTTACTATTTAAGTAAGATAGTTAAGTCTACTTATATAACTTCTCTAGATAACTATCTATATAATATCACTAATTAGTCACTACTTCAGTTTTATTATAGTATAATTTAAATTACTTAATCTAATTATAAGTTTGAATTAGTTAAGCTTTATTAATAGACTAATATAATCTTATATATTTATACTGAGATTAATCTGATCTTACTCTCTAAGAGAAACTTTATATTATTCTCTAAAATATATATATCTCTATTTTAACAGAAATCTGAGATTTCTGAATCTGTTATATATTTTAATATAAGCTTTTTAATTACTTTATTATTATCACAGTCTCTACACTTCTATATCTATTATAAAGATAGAAAGATTAAAATTGAAAATTCTCTAAATTTGTAATTCAAAGGTTTCTTAAGCCAGTGTATGATTACAGGCGTACGCTGGCTTTATATATATTATACTAAATTAATTAGTGTCTGCTATAATCTTTTTACATTTATAAGCATGTTCAGAAGCAGCTGTGTTATTATTCAGTGATTATACATTCTTCTAAATTATATTCTCTCTCACTAGATTCAGTTATGCTCATGTGACTCTGATATAAGCTGCTTTCAGAGAAGCTTTCACTATTTTACATTACTTATTCATTAATATTTTCATTCTTTAATTATTATTCTGTTATCATCATCATTGAATATTATTATTTTATACAAGATTTCTGCATCTCTTTCTTTTATCAAGCTCTTTTCAATCTGTTTATCTATCACATTATACACATTTCTAGCAATGACTTCTCATTTTCATAACAAGTATTGTCATAGTGCTCATATCAGATAGTTTATTAGCAGTAAGTGTAATATGTTGTGAAATGTAGTCAGAACTTGTTTTTCTTCTAATAATTATCAGAATATATTATCATGAATAATACATCTTCTTCATCTTTTTATACATTCTTAACTCTCTTTTTCTAGCAGATATCTGATTGTGTTTTCTAATTATGTTTTCTGATCATATCTTCTGACATAATTTTATATAAATGCAGATACGGATATATTTATTTTAACTTATGTAGAATCTTCATGTATTGACAGATCTGTATCTGCAGATAATAGTAAATGCCTTAATATTGAATTATTGATTGAGAACTTAAAGAATATGATAATGAAGAAATTATCTGTATTATATATAACTGAGTCTTTCATATCTCTTTCTGTCTCTTCTGCTGTTTTCTTTAAATCTTCTACACTTTTCTCTGCATCTGATTCTCTCACTCTCACTATCTCTGCTCTTACTACTCTCACTCTCACTACTTCTACTCTCACTACTTTTACTCTCTCTGCCTCTGTCACTTCTACTGTCATTATCAGCTCTTCTCATTTCAAGAAGATGTTGTGTAGACTTGATAAATTACATTTCTTAGTATATATACTTCTGCTCTTCTTACTGATCTCTAGAATAATTTATTATATGAAGACTGTATACAACATGACTATTTAAAGCTCAGTCATGAACATCAATTATTATATTTATTTTAAATATTTATAATAAGATAATTATACATTTATACTAAAGAATTATCTCTCTTCTTAACAGTGTTAAGATTGTAAGTCTTTTTCTTTTTCTTCTTCTTTTCTAATACTGATTTTTCTAGTGAAAATTATTATGAGTTTTATTATATATGAAGTTATAATATCTATAGATATCAAGAAACTTTTTATAACTATAAAGTTTAACATTGTAGATATATTCACTCTGATAAATTTCTTTGAAATAATAGACTTATATTAGCCTATTCTCTGATATCTGTTGTCTGACTTTGTAATGCAGATAAAAGATATCTATGTTTTCAGAAATGAGAATATAAATGTTGTACTCTTTTACATCTACAGATATAAGACTTATACACCTTGTCTGAGATATTATTATAAAAATGAGCTATTTATATATTATATTCTTCTCTCTGTATTTCTCTGTATCTCTCTCTCTCTTCTTGAGAAGTCTTGTATGTGTTATAATTATGTATACAATTCTAAGATCAGTGAGTGTTCATTTGATAATTATTATCTCTGTTTTTACAGTTTTATATACTAATAATAATTCTTAGTTGCTTCAGTATCAGAGATTATTTTAATTTCTGAAGATAATAATACTACTGAGACTATTCTCTCTTATCTTCAAGCTTCTTCTACTGTTTTCTCTCTCAACATCTTCTCTGTGAATAAGGTTGTGTATATATCAAATTATAAGCATTTGACTCTGAGTAACTTCTACTGTTATTTATTCAGTTCTGTGCTCTCTTCTTTTTCAATTTCTTTCATTTTCACTTTCTCTGCTCTGACTTCTGACTCTGTGAGTTCTGCACTCTTCTTCAATTTTTCTACACACATGTGTATATATTTCTATATTAACATTTCAGTTAATCTTGTGATAAACAATATTAATGTTATACACAGAGTGATAGAGAAATCAGAGACATGTATAACATTGTTATTAAAACAGCTTACAGCTCTCAAATTTCTTACAGATCTTAAGTTTTGAGATTTTCTTTATTTTTGATATTTTTCAGATAATGTGGCATTGAAAATAGATTAAATGTATAATATATGAAAATAAATGAAGTGTGTATAATAATATTTATCTTTTTACAGCTAATTCTTACAGTTGATAATCAATTCATTATCTCTTTTCTTTTCTTACACTTTTTCTTTGTCTGCTAGTCACTACTCTTATATAAACTGATTATCAGAATCATAAATTTTACATTTGATTTTATTTAATCTGATCTTATACATTTCTTAGTGTGAATTTCACTGAGACTAATCATTAAAAAAAACATGCAAAGTGACTATATATCAGATCTCGCCCCGGTGGCTGAATGATTAATACAGCCACCCAGTAGCATCTTGGCGTGGGAAATCAAGGCACGTGGGTTCGAAACCCGCAGAGAATACATTAAATCCGGAACTCAAGCACCTCAGGTTTCTAATAAATACAGAGGTGTATAAATTACTTCAATGAATTACTCTATGTTTCTGAGCTGAGAAGTTATTATCACATGTATCTAATTGTCACTTTTTTGTATTTTTCTATGTTCTTATTATCTTGATATAATCTTAATACCTGTATTTTCTTCTGTATAATCAATACTTAATCTGTATTTAACATTATATAAGAACTTATCATAAGCTTCACTTGCATATAAGTATAATGAAAGAATAATAATAATAATAATATATATCAGATCTCAAAATGAAATCATAACTTAGAAAAAATAAGAAAGTAATCTCATTTAATCTTATTTAGTCTCATTCTTGATATAAAGTTACTATTTTTAGACATTTTAAGGTTTTTTTTAGACTATTTTTAATTTTTTAAAAAGGAACACTTTTTGATAGCACTTAAATAAGATTTAAAGTCATTTAAAGCAATAAAAATAATTTAAATTAAGAAGTGAAAATTATAATCTCATTTGAAAAATGTAATAAGAGTAGACAGTAAGTTTCACTGAGACAGTATAAGACTACTATCTAATCTTAAAACCATGTAATAAGATTAGTTAAATTAATAATAAGACTATTAAATATTCTGATTCTGATCTCAGATATGATCACACGGTCAGTCTATTCTTATATAACTGTAATGTAGCGGAATCAAAGCGGTGACTAGTCAGCAGCATTATGTAGAGATAGTTATTTAAGAAGCTGTATAAGTGAGCTTAACTATCTTACTTAAATAGTGAGCTTGTAAGCTACAGAGTTATTGCAAGAATATCACAGATATGATACTTAGTATACTAAGAAGATTGTATGAGAAATGCAGTAACTCTTATATATATTTCAGTAGTAGAAAAATGAATCACTGACTTCTTTTATCAGAAGCCAGCATCTAGCTATTCTATATAGATAATGAGCAGATACTCTTCTTCTATTCTATGAGTAAGAATAGTTGAAGTAATACCTCAGCAGTGTCTCACTGTTATAAAAGAGTAATCTGCTGATCTTATATAGAAGTAGAGTTCTTATATTTATCAATCAGATCTTTCTATATTATATCTGAATGATATCATAGAGTGATTGAAAACCAGTTTGAACA